TCATCACCCTCCCTTCAGGATGGAGACAAAAATAAACAAAAGGTCTATTTGCTGTCTGTGGTCAAATAAACAGCTCCCTTACCAGCGAGTTGCAACCATCTAAACATAATTTCATTCTCCAATTGCAAATTCAAGGAAAAGAGAACGAAATGTTGGTTTTTAATTATTTAACGCTGAGTCTAACATTACAGTTGTGATACAAAAAAGGCCAAACGGACCAACCGTAAGAGCCGGAGCAAATCATGTTATCTCCTGCGTTCAGTGTAGTCGCTGCTCAGGTCAGACAGCACTTTCTGAGCATCCTCTGGCTCCAGTGAGCTGTGGCTTTGAGGGCAAAGAGCTGCCTGTTGAAAGTATTTACGCCCTGAGTTGTGGCTGCAGTTCACTCATTCTCTATTAAAGATTAATAAAGCGTAAAGTGTTGAAGAATAGAAAAGCCCGCTGAACCCAGCGTGTTTTTACAGGCCTCTGAATGCCCTACTGGTCCAGTGCGCTGAGAATGTGGAGTTTAAATAGCAAAGAAGACACCAGGAATGTTGGAAAGTCAGTATGAGAGGAGAGAGACAGCCAGACTGTGACTGTGAGTGAGTGCTGGCGCTGGGAGTGGTGTTGCACACTTGCAGTGTTTTGTTATCGTCGCTCAAGTCGAAACAATCACACCTCTGACTGTGAAAAGTCGAGACAGCTTTGTCGTGAGAAATGAGCCGAAAATAAAACATCAAGCTTGACTTTAACAGAGGAAGACGCAATATAGAAAAGTGGCTCTGAAACCTGTGTGAATGTGGTAATTTTATTTTAGACTTACAATTTGTGACATTTTCAGGTAAATAAATGTTTTTTTCTGCTCTCTGTCATTGAATGTGCAGCACAATAGTGCGTCAAACTGTAGCCAGTTTATGAAAGCTTTTATATTTGTTGTTGTGAACACCCCGTGTCAGGCAGGTCTATTGCAGGAAAAATCCTCCACTGCACAGCAAGTGATGCGTTTCATGTTCCCAGCAGCATGCACTTTGTTTGTGGGAAAAAAAGAAAAAGGGAAACTATAGCGAACATCACTGATCATTCAAAGAACCATAACAGAAACTCAAATTTCATTGACAGAACATCTCGGGTTAAGAGCGAGGGACACGTGGTTTGAATGACGAGCGATCTCTGGGAAGTAGAAAAAACACCACAGCGAGAGCGATTAGTAGCAAAGATATCAGCAAAAGAAGAAAGCAAAACAAGATTCCTGTGGATAGCCACTTGACAAAACAACAGTCCCGCATGACTAAACAGAAAGTAAGAGTTCCATTGTTCATGTGAGAATCAGGTCAGGCACTAGAGAGGCAGCAGGGAGGGGAAACAGAAAGAGACGTGAGTGTACTGCTGTACTGCAGGAAGTTTGGGGAAACCCGGGCTGTCATGACTTGGTCTTGTAAGAAACAGCATGCACCAAGGCTAGAGGGAATTTTTCCCAGGCACCCTTACCATATTGGGAAGAGAGGAAGAGTGTATTAATGCCTCAGGCTCTGTAAAAACCCTGGCTGGCTGACTACCAGTGGGCCCCATGAGCGTCGACAGTAATCACTAATGGCTCTCAGACAAGTTATCACCAAGCCACATTGACATTTTGATCACTTAGCAACTTGCGTTGCTTTAAACGTCCATTAAGATACAGATACATGCAATGGTGAAACAGACTATCTATCACTGTGTGGCTGCTGCCTGCACAGTCATACACAGATACAAAGGGGTTTTTTTTGTTTTCTAATTGACTTAATTCTGCAGATGGTCTGGAGCTGAATAAAAGGCCAGAATACAAAACACAGCGGAAAGTTGCCCTCTGGTTCCCAGAAGCCATAAGACCTCCCTGCTTCTGTGTAATGCTTCTTAAAATACCCATTCATTTAGAACAGCAACACACACACACACACACACATGCACAGACATACAGATTCATGCTCGGTAATGACCTCGATTAGATAAACACCTCACCGCTGTTTTCAAACATCCTGCAAGGACTAGTTCTTGTGGAAGAACCGGTTTAATGAGACCAAGATAATCATTGGTGCAACGAGTGCTGGGAGAACGAGCTGGGACATGAGCTGTTTGAATAGCCATGCCTCGGACAGCGATCGATATTGCTTTGTGAACGGAGCCAGACCGCAGCAGGCAGACTTCACCCTCAATTAAAAGGGAGACAATACTTTGTGTGAAGGGGCTGAAAGCCTGGTGGTAAAAAAGAATATATATA